TTTAAATTGATAAATATGTTGACAAATATATTTCAATAGGATTGTTTACAGATTTTTACAGATCAAAAAAAAAAAATCGAGGATTTTCCGAGATCGGGGATCCCCGATCCCTGATCGAGGACGGGGACGGGGGCGGGCTATAGGTCCCCGTCGGGGATTGGGGGCGGGGACGGGAAATATCTCACTTTCGGGGATCGGGGACAGGGAGTGTGGTCCCCAGCCCCGCCCCGCCCCGCCCCGTTGCCATTCCTAATTATGGATGATGCCCATAGGTCCCGATATACCATTCACCCTGGTGGGACTAAGATGCATCATGACCTGAAGACGTTTTGGTGGGAAGGTATGAAGAAGGATGTAGGAGAGTATGTTTCTCGATGTTGTGTGTGTCAACAGGTTGAGGCAGAACACCAACGACCATTTGGACTTTTGCAGCCTCTCGAGATCCCTACTTGGAAATGGGAGTATATCTCTATGGACTTCATGGATGGATTGTCGTGGTCTAAGCGAGACAATGAATCTATTTGGGTGATAGTGGATCGACTCACCGTCTGCTCATTTTATTCCTATCAATGTTCACCGAACTGCGAATAAACTAGCTAGGCTATAAATTCGAAAGGTGGTGTAACTTCATGTCACACCAGTTTCTATAGTTTCAGATCATGATCCGTTGTTTGTGGTAGAGTTTTGGGAGAGTTTTCAGCATGCTTTGGGTGCTAGGTTAGACCTGAGCATGGCTTATTATCCTCAGACGGATGGGCAATTGAGCTAGTAAACAAGATCTTAGCGGATATGTTGAGAACATGTATCCTCGATCTTGGTGGTAGTTGGGAAGAACACTTGCCATTGGTGGAGTTTGCTTATAATAATAGTCATCACTCAAGTATCGGGATGATACCTTTTAAGGCTTTATATGGGAGGCCATGTCGATCACCTGTTTGTTAGATGGAGGTAAGAGACGCGCTGTTGCTAGGGCTAGAGTTGGTGAGAGAGACCACAGAGAAGGTGAACATTATTCGGGAACGTAGTAAGACTGCACAGAGTCATCAGAATAGTTACGTTGATAGAAAAAATAAGGGGATTGAGTTGAATGTTAGAGATTTTGTGTTTTTGAAGGTCTCATTGATGAAAGGTATCATGCGGTTTGGAAAGAATGGAAAGTTGGCACCTAGATTTGTAGGACCATATGAGATCACTAAGAGGATTGGTAATGTGGCTTACAAATTAGCCTTGTCACCTACTTTAGTTATGATTCACAACATGTTCCATGTTTCTTTATAGCGGAAGTGTGTGCAAGACCCTTCCCAATTAGTATCACCAGATGTGTTGGAGATCACTAATGATTTAACGTATGTGATGCGACCGGTTACTATTCTAGATCGGGATGTAAAGCAGTTACGACGCAAGAAAGTAAACTTAGTGAAAGTGCAATGGATTGAGAATGAGAACGATACCACTTGGGAATTAAAAGAGAAAGTTCGACGTATGCACCTGGAGCTTTTTGTTTAGTACTCTCTCCTATCGAATCTTGGGACGAGATTCTTTTGAGGTGTGTATATTATAACGACCCTGATTTTTTGTAATTCATTGTTTATTATTATTATTTTGTGACTTTATTAATTACGTGGTTATATGAGAATTTAATGTGGTATTTAATTAATTTAATGTGATAGTTAATTATATGTAATTAATTCAAATATTGATGTATTTATATTTTTTATAAAAAAAATGTTTATATATTGCTAAAATATATATCATATTTATGTATGTTGTATTTATATAGTATTTGTAAAATATAATATAATAATAAATGTCAAGTAGATAAGATTAGAGGCTCAGAAAAAAAAAGAAAAAAAAAACAAGAAGTGAAAGTGCTATGTGCAGCGACTGTGCAAGCAGAGAGAGAGAGAGAGACTGTAAGAAATTAAGAGGGACGGCGAGAAAGAGTATTGGAGAAGACAAAAAAGGTTAAGGTTTTGTTTTGGTGGCTCCATTAGTTCTTCAAATATTTCTTTGATCTTCAACAAATAATTGTGGATACAAAACCTACTTTTCTTGATCTATGTTTATTCGTTATTTTTATTTATTTGATGTTGGTTTGATTTTATATTTGTATGTAGATGATAAATTGATTTCAACTATTTTGGTTAGTTGTGTATGCAATGTTAGGGTTTTTATATATATTTATTTTGTGGATGTAATCACACTCATGGATATATGAAATTAAAATAAATTAGGAACTTATAGATAAATTCCTTACACTCTACCATGACTCAATGGATTGTTATTTTATTTGAGTGTTTGTAAGAAATAGTGTTTAAAAAAAAAAAAGGTAAGAATTATGAGATTTATTTAAATGCCTTAGGCTTGACATTGTTATGTTTATTCTCATGAGTAGATGAGAGGTTGTGTATATATATATTGTTGCCTCGTTCTCAGGAGTAGACGAGTGTTTTGATTTACAAGCGTACGCATATGCTAACCATCTGGGGAGTATGGGTTAAACTCAGGACGATATCTCCGTGCAAGTTTGGCTTCGGAGCAGTGTTAGGTATACAGGAGGCACATGGGATATATGTGTAAGCCGGAAGAGAAGGGCTGAAGTGGTGGAGTTAAGGTTCAAAGAATTAAATATGAACTTATTGGTATAATTTGAATTGTATTGATTTGTACATCTTGAAAAATAGTAAACGACCTCAACAAATTACGAAATTTGAGTAGAGGCATGTATACGTAATTCTAGACAACCTTTGTACTTTAATTTTTTAATAAAAAAAATTCAATTGGAACTTGTAATCAAATGATCTTGGATACAATAGCTTTTATTCATTTAAGCAATATAGATTTTATATGCTGTTTTAACCTACGAAGCGAGCTCATTTTTATTGATTTCATGAAAAATGAAGTAAAACATTACTTTGAACACTTTTCGTGTTTTGAACTTTTCCGAAAAAAAATTATCTTAGGGTAGTTTCTTTTTGTTTCCAGCTTTAGATTTTTTGGTTAAATTCCGTTTAGGTTCTTCTGTCAAGTTTTTGTTTCAACTTGTTCAATTTGTACTAAATTTGTTTCCATAGCCTTTTAGGAAATTTGATTATGTACAACTTTTGTTCTTTAATTTTTAATTAATTCGAATAATTTAAGTATGAAACGGTGCATTTTTATACTTTTTCAGCAAGTTATTTATGATTAAATTATACTACCTTTATTTTTTGCAGAATGGAGGGTCTTAATAACTTTTTATGCAGGGCTGACCCAACACATTTTTATTTTTATTTTGTTTATTTTATACTCAATTTATATTTAGTTGTGTACAGTGAAGAAACTAAATGTCACCGTATCTCGGGAAACTACCCTTTCGTCTCGATGCGGGTGGAACTACTTGTCTTGTCTCATAACAAAAATTAAATATACTTTTGTTTGTGTCTGGTGGACATATGAGTGTCAAATTTTGTACTCGTACTAGTATACTTGTATACTGACCCGTTTTGTCTCTTAGCATCTTAGGTGCGTTCTGTTTGAGCGCAGCTAAGTTTTCTTTGTAGGATTAGTTGGGACTACGGTGGTGATGAGAAATAACTATAGCTATTGGACATGTCGTTTGGACTTCTTTTGTTTCTTGAGTTTAGAATTGATATTAGTTTATGTATTTATTATTTTTTTTATGACCTTAGTATTTTGATAATTTGGCATGGTTTGTCACTTTACATTATTTAAGTTGTTTTGACTATTTATTGTTACTTTAATGTTGGAAGTATTGGATAGTAATGAAATTATGGTGAATGGTTTGGTTGACGTTTTGTTAGTTTTTCTTTATCCCTTATAATCTTTTGAGCATGAAAATTTACTTAAACCTTATGGTGATGAGAACATTTAGATTTTGTTTTATCCCTAGCATTTGGATGATGGAACATTGATTGGGGTTTGGTCCTAATTTAATATTTAATTGTCCAAATTTTGGAGTGTGACACTAAAAAAACTCTTTGCTGCTCTTTTTCCAAACGTAATAACGTAATACTACAAAAAAAAAATTTAATTATTTTTTTCAATCGTAACACTCCAATCAATGTAATCCCAAATGTAACACACAAAAATACTAAAAAACTCCTTAATATATTTTCCTAAACGTAACATTTACAATTTGAAATTATAAATTTACTAAAAATTTACTAAGAAATTTTTGTACTCTTATTGGAATGGTTTGAAGAATCTCATATACTTTTTTTGGTTTGTTAAATTAGAGTATTACGTTGAAAAAAGTACGCTAAAGCGTTTTTTTATGTGTTACATTAGAGTTTTTTTAGAGTGCTATGTTGGAGTGTTAAATTTGGAAAAAATACACAATTTTTTTTTTTTGGAGTGTCATAATGAAATATTACGTTTCAGTGTTACATTAGAGTGTTATCGTTTGAAATTATACATTTGCCTAAAGCTTACGAAGAAATTTTTGTACTTCTCTTGAAATATTTGAAGAATCACACGTCCTTTTGGAATGTTTAAATAATTTTTATACTCATTTTGAAATGTTTTTCAAATAAAAAAAAGATTCTCATATAAAATTAATCTCAAATTTAATTCTCATAGATTACATACCTTACCTTTTTAGTACCAAAAAAAAAACAAAAATAAATGAATATAATAATTTTCAAGTAATACATTAAATTAAATTTTCAAAATCAATTAGACTAATTGGTCTATAAAAAAATCATTGAGAATGAATGAATTATCATTTCTAAATGTGTGATTTATAAGTAAATTTTTCAAAAATTTATGAGCATTCTTTAAAAAAAAAGAAAAAAAAGAAAAGAAAAAAGAAGAAGATAATGAAAAGGGAGTGTAACAGAATATGTTGAATTTCATTCCGTTTCCATAGTTTCATGTCACTGTGCTCCACTATTCTCTCTCACTGTTACTGACGGAACTTGAGAGAGAGAGAGAGGGAGAGAGAGAGAGAGGTGAGTCACTGAGTCATTCACGAATGAGGGCACAGCGCAGGTATTCTATTGATTAATCTATGGCAACACATCGAATCCAATATGGCAACTCTTGTCCATTCATTGCTCTCCATTACTACTACTTGTATAAATACTAGTACTATTACCCTAATAAACCCTTACTCTTCTTCTTCTTCTTCTTCTTCTGCTTTTCCTCTTCACCAGCTACGCCTCATTCCTTCAATCAACCACAACACAAGAACAACACTCAACATGTCTCTGCCTAATTCACAAAATCCTGGTGCGACAATCTTTCGATTCATATATATATATGTATATTAGAATAAGAAATATAATCTTGATCTTCAATCCTTTTTTAACTTTTTCTTTCCCGTCTTTTCATTTAAATTTGAGTGAAAATTTGATTAAATCAATCCGTACTCTTTTTAAAAAAAATTATCAAATTCGAGTAATAATATTGACTGTTGAAATAATTGGTTGAGGATTAGACGTGCTCTTAATCGTGGCAGGTCATTGTTTGTTGATTGGAATGGAGTGAATTAGTTGTGGCAATATGTGATTCTTAATTACTGATGGAGAAATATAACTGTTAATTAGGTGTGGAAAATCGTTGCTTGTTGAGTAACTGTGTGGATTAGAATGTGTCACAACAACTAGTTGTTCCTTGTTCCTCATAGAACAAATCAGATGACACACAGACTAGATGATTAAAAATGCTTCACTTCTTACTAGCAATGTTTTTTCATGCAGCACATAATAGAAATAGTTAGTGATAGCATCCGCAAAAATATTGGCTGTAAAGCATTTTGTGATTTATAAGTGAAATTTCAGATGATGACTCTATGAGGATATATTGTGGACAGAATTCAGAGCTGGCTGTGCATAGTTGTACTTAGTATGAAAAGAGAGATTTTTGTGTTATTGCTGTCCTCTTAAGAACCATCTGTGATGTTTCTAGTGAATGTTTCAGTAATGCCGGCGTCGCAACAGAAAATCACAATACCAAACAAGTTTGGCGAAAAACTTGTTGGCATACTACATGAAACTGGATCTGTGGAGATTGTGATATTGTGCCATGGTTTTCGATCCACAAAGGTCAGTAATGATGATACTTGAACTTGAAGCTGGATTTTGCTGTCTAGTGTGGTTATGATGCATAATGGTAATTATGATGTTGAGGCTTTATTTGTGTTTTAGTATGTTTGTAGTGCATCTACTCTGCTATTAAATGTTAATTTTTCCCTCTATCAAATCAATCAAAGACATAGTAAGGCAAGTAGACAACAAAAGTTATTCTAACCTCTTGAGATTGGCAAATTGTGTTGTATTATATGTTAGAAACTTAGAAAGCAAAGTATTCCTGTCTAATGTTGTAGAATGCAGATCATATTGATTAGGTCTTTTTAAAAATTGAACTTATAAATATTTGATGCATATAGGTGTTCTCATTGCTGTTTATCCTATAAAATAGCTTGGTGGGAGCAATTTTTATTGTTTCTTTAGCTTGTATTATTCTTGTGTCACCTTAGGGAGTTATCAATTGTTGTAAATCTGCTACTTGCTCCAGTTTAAGAAACTTCATAATAATAGAGAAGTAATATGAACCTGCCTGTGTTGCAGTAAAGTGGGACTCATTTTCTCTTTTTTGGGTGAGCAAATGAGGGTTTTTTTTTTTTTGCACTGGTTTCTTCTAGTGCATACTATTAGTGTTAAATTAATCAAGTCAGTTAAGAGTTGAGAAATGATAGAAAGCCTTTAAAAATGTGCCGCACTCAATTTAGCCATTTACTGTTTTGGGAGATCTTGAAATAGCCAAATATAAGTCATGCTATTTTGAGAATATTTTCTTCAAACTACTTTTCCATTGATAGCTTACATAAGGTCATTCTTGGACTATCTGATGTTTTTTGCTGATTGTGGGAATGATCTTATAGCTCATGTTTCTGCTCCAGGAACGGGACATTATGGTGAACGTTGCTGTTGCTTTAGAAAAAGAAGGAATCACTGCCTTCCGCTTTGACTTTGCTGGAAATGGGTAAGCTTGTAAATGAAAGGGTGTAAAAACTGACTTGGAATTATTTTTGGTATGTAACAGGTATTATTAAGTGGTTGGTGGTTTGATAGATTGAGGCTCATTTGGTGGGTTCACTCACATCGTTTCTTTTTAACTTGGACTTGGCCTTCTTATTTGCTAAGTTATAGTTTTTCACTTGTTTTTAACTCAGTACTTTTTTAACTAATGAAATGGCTTTTGATAGGGCCGCGTGGAGAAGAAGGATTCATGTAGCCGACCCCATTTGATGGGACTTAAGGCTTCGTTTGGTTTGGTTTGGTTTGGTTTACTTTTTTTTCTTTTCCCTAGTGGAATTATCTTATAGTGCTAAAAAATTGCCACCTCCGTAATATTAGGAGTCTGTGCAATGCAGTTATGTAGATGTATGCCGTATCATTCACTAATAACTTTTAACTTGCTTTTTTTAATCATGGACCCACTTTAATAGAATCTTGGCCTAATAACCTTGAGATTGTGGGTTCAAGTCATAGGGCAACCACTCTGTGCATTATGTCAAAGGTTAGGTGTGTACCCAATCTTTCCCCTCGCAAACACACATTTATGTGTACTAATTGAGCGTTGTTTTTTACCCACTTTAATAGAACTATCATTTCTTGTGTAGACACACAGGTCCTTCAATTGCCATAAAAAATCCAAATTCTAGGACTGGAAGCTCTCCCAATGTCACGACCCCAAACCGCCCCTAGTAGTTTGGTGCCGTGATGGCCAGTAATCCGTAATTACCGAAGGCCAACTTTTCAAAACTTAACACAATCAGAGTATGAATATAGGGGGCTCACAAATGCGGAAGCAATAAATCAGTTGCAAATGGTCCATAAGAGCTGTGCGTAGATCAAAAGCAATGTCAAACATTTCCAATTAACTTACAACTTGAATACAACAAGATAAAATACATGTTACATCTTGATCAAAAGGCTTCTCGAGCCGATATATACAAAAGATACAACGAATACAAGTCAAGAAGCATGATTTTCAAGATTTGCCGACATGCAAAGCAGGGCATCGCCGACGTAAATACAAAAGTAAGGCCGACATATACACGCATCCAAAACAAGCATCCAAAACGAACTAGGCGTCGCCGCCGTCCTGCTCATCACCTACATATATATAGAGGGGTGAGTACAAAACTCAGTGAATGGTACTAAAAATAAAGGTTTGCATGAATATAGCCGGAGTCCTTCAAAACGAATACATCAAACTTAGCAAGGCAAGGGATGAACCGTATTCATCATCAAATATCAAAACATCGGCGAAAACAAGGGATGAACCGTATTCATCAGTCAAGTATCATAACATCGGCGAAGCAAGGGATGAACCGTATTCATCAATCAAATATCATAACATCGGCGAAGCAAGGGATGAACCGTATTCATCAATCAAATATCATAACATCGGCGAAGCAAGGGATGAACCGTATTCATCAATCAAATATCATAACATCGGCGAAGCAAGGGATGAACCGTATTCATCAATCAAATATCATAACATCGGCGAAGCAAGGGATGAACCGTATTCATCAATCAAATATCATAACATCGGCGAAGCAAGGGATGAACCGTATTCATCAATCAAATATCATAACATCGGCGAAGCAAGGGATGAACCGTATTCATCAATCAAATATCATAACATCGGCGAAGCAAGGGATGAACCGTATTCATCAATCAAATATCATAACATCGGCGAAGCAAGGGATGAACCGTATTCATCAATCAAATATCATAACATCGGCGAAGCAAGGGATGAACCGTATTCATCAATCAAATATCATAACATCGGCGAAGCAAGGGATGAACCGTATTCATCAATCAAATATGACAAAGCAAAACAAGCTGGAAGCTTAATCACTACTCCCGTTTCATGAAAACGCACCGGGTACCGTCCAGGACTATGCCGAGGTCCCGCTAAACAAAGTCAGGAAAAACCTGGGTTTTCCTTTGAAGAATATGAAGAACATGGTCATTTGAAAGATGGATGCAAGCTCACAACTTGTTACAAAAATCTGAGTTTTCATGCCAAGAGTTCAAAATATGGACCTGGGTACCCATTCAAGAAAGTTATGCAAGAACAAACACAAAAACATGGTTTTCGTTCCAACTTTCGGATCAAAACGAGACTTTCTTCAAGAACACATGAAAAACCATTTTCTCTTTCCAAAACCAACTTCAAAACAATGCATGACATGCAAAACAGATCCGATCATGCAATGCAGCTAGATAATCAGCAAGAACAACCAAAGGAGATCAAGATTCTAACCTCAAAACTCGGATCCAACGGTTCAAGCCACGAAGATCAAGCTTGGGAGACTTACTCTCACTCAAGAACTTCTCTAGAGCTTCTCTCTCTAAAACAAAGATTTGAGACAAGAAAAATGATTTGTTTCTAAGTCTGCCGGCTGCCTTAACAATCAGCTCGGACACGTGGCGTTATCGGGTTGGTTTAGCTCCAAAAAGGTGATTGATAGACAAGACAAGTCTCTGACAAAGCGTATGCAGCAAGCTCGGGTAAGACACATCGGCAACAAGATAACATCGGCTCAAATCAAGAATCCGGCGACAGGATAGCAAAACATCGGCTAGGGAGGACGACTCTTGACTAAGCTGTGCCACACCTTGGCCGGGGTGTGCCACATCTCGGCCTAGGCCATACCTGCCTGCGGACAAGGTTCAAGCGTAAAACATCTCGGCAAAGAATGCCCGAGGTGAAGATGGGGTTGAACAAGATCTCAAAACAAGTCTAAGTACAAAGGTTCAAGGGCGAACTAAGCTCAAGGTGATCTCGGCTACGCACACGCACACACTAAGCAAGGAACAAATTCATGTAAGCAACTTAAGCGAACCAAGGCAAGATAAAACCTTCAAATTAACATAACAAGCAAGACCATGCAAGAATGTATGCACGTATGGTAAGAGTAAGGTGATGGTTGTTACACCCAATGTGTGCTTGAGCAGGCCTACGGATCTCTGAATCTTTTCACAACTTGGCTTTGGAATTAAGGAGTTGATGTTTTTCTATCTGATACACAAAGACATAAAAACAAGAGTCCCTTAGCGACTTTTTGTACATGTATATACAGAAGAAGAATCTTATGTTGATGAGCTTTAATTTGTGGAAACCCTCCTTTGATTGTTTTGATAAAAATTACATACAGATCATAAGCACTTGGATTACTTTTAATGCATTGGTAATTCCTGGCAACTAGCCAATTGTGATCGTAGTCACAAGGAGTGAACATGTAGACAAAATTATGTTGATAGTAGTAGTGTTAGAGCCACAAGTGGAGTTTGAACTTTCGAGCTTGAAGAGGAAGATGTCAAGGCTAACGCATCTAGGGTAGGGATGTAAGTTGTTTACCTAAGCATTTGTATTATACTTTTGATCTAGTGGATTTTGACTAGCAGCTGCTCGTGGGGGTTTTTATTTATTTTTTTATTTTTTTACCAAGGAGATTGTTGTTCTTCCTAAGTATTTTTTTTCTTCCCATTTATATTGAAATTCCCAATGAATGGAAACTATGGATTTGCTAGATGATCCAAACAACTTGTAATGTCCCAGCTTTTATTACCCAAATTCATTACCAAATCCTTTATATTATTACTAATTTGAAAATATCAAACACAAGCCAACAAAATTATAAGTACATAATAACATTCACTCTCGATGTGATGATGGCATATAGATAAAATCTGGTACAAAGTCCTTAAGCTTACATCGAATAACAATAAATAAAAGGGATCTACCCTTATATAATGTGTGGCGTTCAACCAACAAATAAAAGGCCCCGTAGCCAAACATAACAAAAGACCTCAAGTCCTGAACAATCTTCTAGTCATGTACCTAAAAAATTTGTCAATATGTGGGATGAGCACAATGCCCCGTAGAGATTCCAAAGATCCTAACCAATCACAACATATAGTTAGATATGATCATGCATGCACAATCTACCGTATAAGTAATGTGACGGTTTATATCCAAAAGTGTACTTATATAAATATATTTTTCCCCAAAAATTATCTTTTTAACACAACACAATAGAAAATAACTTGTCTTTCTAACTTCCTTTTCACTTCAGAACATTGCAAAACCTTGCTTTCTTTTAATAAAAACCTTCCATGTTGACATAAAAGAATTCCATTCAAACATTAGTTTTGAAAACACGTTCACACATACTGGACATGTACTAGTCATAACCCGACCCCACATGCCAATACACTATATGCATCTACAATACATCTACCACCTTTCCTGGCCATAGGTCCAAGGGCAAGGGACACCCACAATATGAAACTGAGAAACACATACATCCCAAAAAAAAAAAGCTGAGAGTAATACATACTTCCAATTCCATTTCCACGGGCATACAACATAGATGGTAAATGATACAACCTAAATAACACAACCCTTTACCGACCTCACCCGGAGGGGAACGACCCCAAGGTCACACTTTACCGGACGTAGGGGTGTGCATAATACCGCCGAAACCGCACCGAACCGCACCGCTAAGGCAAATTCGTTATTATTTGCCAATCGAACTGCCGGTTTTTGGTAAGAAAAATGACAAATTCTAGTGACACTTTTGTCAATCCGCCGGTTTCTATTTTTCTTTCAAATCGTACCGACCCGCACCGCTATTAAATCATGTTTTATAAGATTCTAAATTTTTTTTTTTACTTAAGTTTGCTTGTTGTTCTATACCTTAGAATATAATATTACATTACTGTTCGAGGGGAATTCAAGATGTCAGTAATCCAAAATAAAGTTGGATTCCAATTCACTTTTCAATCTTTTTTTTTTCTGGTCATGTTGCAAACTTGCACCAGCTCACTTTTCAATCTAAATACTTTTCAACAGTAAACATTTTCAATATATTGTAAACCTTGAATGATATTAATTTTATGTATTGTATTTGATCATTGTAGCTTCCACAGATACTTGTAATGAAATGATGACATAGTCGTTGATATTATCATGTTGTTGCTACACTTGCTGCATCAGAAGAAAGCTTCGCTTACTGCATCAGAAAAAAGCTTCGCAAGATGCTTAACATCACGGTATCTCTCGTCTTTTTTTTACTCTTTGATTTAAGTTTTGTAATTTGAATTAAATTTTTTATAAACCGCCAAACCGCCAAGGCAAATCTGCCATTATTTGCCAACCGAACCGCCGATTTTTGATAAGGAAAATGGCAAATTCTAGTGATACTTTTATCAATCCGCCACCCGCCATACAGTTTCTATTTTTCTCTCAAACTGCACCAACCCGCACCACGCACGCAAACCGAAAGGAAGGGGAACCTATCACAAGGTGCCACGCTTTACCGGTCCCACCCGGAGAGAAACGGACCTCCATTCACACTTTACCAGGCACAAACCAGAAGGGAGAGGAACCTTTGTCAAGGCATCATGTTTTACCGGCCTCACCCGGTAGGAAACGGATCCCCAATCCATATCATAACAAGCAAGATACATAACTAGTTGTGGGAGCCGAATATTTCGGGGGGCAATAAGGCCGGATACAGATATGAGATCAGTCAAGGACGAAATTTGTACTCAGCATTGATCCTAGTCGACCACAGAGCCGA